TACTGTATAAAAAAAAATTCACCTTACAACAAAAGCTTGTAAGGTTCTTTATATTCATCTTTGGGTTAACAGATTAATTTTTAATTGTTTGATTGATCTTTGCATCAATGGGGACAAACAGATCTAGCTACAGGACGTACCAAGGAGCACAAAGATTTTTACCATCAGTATTCATCCTTCCCAAGTTTGTTTCCAAGATACTGTATATAAAAAATATGTATCCAGCAGAAAACAAGTAAGTTTTGTAGGTTATGGTGTATGTGTTGTTGGTTGACTTGATTAGCTTTTTAAAGTTAACAGATTATTTTTTGCATTACAGTACAGGTAGTTATTTTCTTAAAGTAGAATTTTTTAGTATGACCTGATGGCCTATTGCTAAGCTGCTCTTGTGAATATGGTATGCCAACCATGCTGTTGGGTTCGGACCTAAAAGGATCTTCATATTGATGGTTAGGAAATAATCCTACAGCTCTTCTGGGTATTGAGACTACTTTCTCATCCCCCAAAAATTTCCGGGTACTGTACAGTACTGGGAAAAATTTTCAGAGTTTAAACTATGCACATTGCACGCAGATACTATTGCACATCCCCAGACTGATTATTTCAATAAAAGATCCTTAAACAAAATATTTCAACATGATGGGAATTCAATTCTTTTATGGAAAAAAAAGTTAAGAAATGTTAATACAGTGGTCCCTCAGTTAACGAACACAATTCGTTTCAGAAGGTTGTTCGTTAACCGAAACCATTGTTTCAATGGGATTTTGGGTAGTTGGTTCCAGCTCACCGAAAATTACATACAAAGTAAAAATAAATGCAGTAAAGTACACTTACTTTGAGGTGTGTATGTAGAAGGCTCCTGGTTGATGATGATGGGAATTAGAAGTAGGGGTGGAGGAGAAGGGAGAAGAGAAGGAAGTGGGGGTGGAAGAGAAATCACCCCATGCTTCCTGCCGTCATTTCACACATAAAATTTTAAGTTCACTAGGTGTAATTCGAGATTATTTTCTCTAAATCAACACTGCACTGCACTATATATTGTCAATATGTAAAATAAATTTCAAAATGACCAATAATTGTACTGTGAAAACGTAAAAATAGTTTATGTTCAAGAGAGTCTCAAGCAAGATGTTACCTCTACTGACCAGAGATACAAACTGACGCCTGTTTGGTGCGTTGAGTGGCTGTTTGGCGCACTAGAAACTAGTTTCCTGTACTTCAATTATGTTAAATAATTGTTAAAATGACTAAAAATTTTAATATAAAACTTGGAAAATTATTGAATAGTATAGGTACAACCTTCTTGATATTTACTCAAATGGGAACAAATTTAAGCCCTAGAACCGATTACTGTATTGGCGGACTAATATTCCAGCTGGTGAGCAAGCGAAAACATGTTGAGAGGAATTTATAAGGAATTCGTTAACCAAATTTTTTCGTGAACCGAATTGAATATTCTTATGGAACGTAATTCGTTAACCGAAATTTCGTTAACTGAGGCGTTCGGTAACCGAGGGACCACTGTACTGTACCGTACTGGAGTCTATAAAATGAGCTCTAATTAAGTTAGAAACACCATTTTTTTTATATAAAATAATCCTGAAGTTTATCTAAAAGTTAGTTAAAATACATACACAAATAAAAATCTATACAATACGGGCATGCAAAGCGTGAATGGACCTGTGTGTCACAATCAAGACTGAAATTTTCCACCCTGTACTGGGAAGTTTTTCCCGAGTCTAAACTATGCATCTCGCAGACAGGCACAAGAGCTGTATTTATTTACACAAACACCACTGCAGTAATGTACAATATATTGCATATAAACAAAATAATGTGTACTACTACTATACTGTACCAAAAACTTCTTGAATGCTATAAGCACTATGCAATATGAAAAATGAACAAAGAATCTAAAACCATTCTGAGAAGACAAGCCCCCATTCTGCTCATTCTCACATCCATTGAACCTAGGTGTTTGAGAAGTTTTTGTTGAGAGTGTACATACAGTTACTGAACTCACCAGCAAATCCTGTTGTCTTGAGCCTACAGTAGGCTTACACTGTCCACTGCTGAATATACATTAACTGTAATCACTTTTCATGTCTTAGCATTTGTGATGGAGGTGGGGTAGGGAATTAGCGGGTCTCATGTTACTAACCTGACCTGATGCAATGTCAGGCCACCCATTATAAATACTGTAAAGCTTCTCTCATTTGCAGTATTAAGGGATTAGTGAGTCTCATGACCTGAAAATGTCTTGAATAAAGATGAAAGCTAAGGTGCTCCAGTGTTTCTCTTTTCCTCTACATATGGTACTGTACTTTCACACTGTACTCTTGGGAAACAAAAGTACTTGTACCAATGAAACCTGTACGTCAGTATACAAGTATTTTGGCATTGATGAGACATGGTTAAAAGCAAGGTATAAAGATATACAAGCTATGCTGACCGAGTGAAGAAAACAAGTCCACCCATGTGCATGACGTCACATGGTGATTAGACTACTGTACTTACCCAGGTCAAGTTAAATTTAAAGTATTTCCAATTTCTATTACTTTGTCTTCATGTTACAGATATATACATCTTTTCTCTTAGCTCTATCTGTTATAATACCGCACCTGAGATGAACTGTACTGTACACACATACAGACACAGTAAGTACACTGTTCATTATTATTATTATTATTAGTGGTGGTGGTATTAGTGTTATCATTATGATTACTCAGTCAATAGGGTACAAACTTCAAGATACGTTACATATACAGTACTTAATTATAATATACTCAACTGTGTGTTCTATTATAAGTGTTCACTACACAACTATATAACAGTAACACATGTCACCACTATCACAGTAATGTAAAATAAAGTATAACACCATAAAATAAAATACAGTGATACCCCGATTTACGCTGTCAATTGAACCCATGGGGTACCGCGTAAAACGAAAACCGCGTAAATGGAATAATAGAACATATGGGATTAATTACAATAGAGACTGGCCCGACCCCTAAACTCCACTTTTTCAGACACAATACCTACGTTGTAGTAAAAATAACATCTTAATTTTATGATGGTATGCACACACAATTAATAATTAAGAGAAATATCAATAATATTAGGTTTTTTAACACTTACATTAGAAGAAAAGATGACTGGGCACACGGGGATGGAGGGTTGGTTCCGAGGCAGAGGGCAGATTATTGGCCCTCACCTGTATCACTTGTATCACTATCCACCACAGAGGCTTGCAGGGCCTCTTTGTCAATCCCCTCAAAGTCCATATGAGTCCATATCCACACTATCACTGACTTGGGCCGGCTGTGGTGGGTGGCGGGTGAAGAACTCGGTAATGTTTTGATGACTGGGTGACCTTGTGAGCATCCTGCCCGCGTATATGAGTAGATGCACCGCATAAAATGAAATTCCGGTTCTGGCGAGGTAACGCGTAAATGTAGAATCGCATAAAGCGAAACCGCGTAAATCGGGGTATTACTGTATATACAGTATATACAATAAGTCCTTGTATAACGTTGGCCCGCTTAACGTCGTTTCGGTACTACGTCACCAATCTTTAGATTATACATAATTTTTTTCACATTGATTTTAGTGGGTTAAACTGGCCAAGTACGATCTTCGTCGTGGAGGGGTCAAAAATAGTTACCATAATTTAATACGGTTCACCATAACATTAGTAGTATTACATCTTAAAATAAGACAGAACTACAGAAAAATATGAGTGTGGCTTCGTCCTACCAATTTCCCACATACAAATCAAAGCTGGCTGGGGGGGGGTTGAGGTGTTGCTGTTAGACGTCAAGCTCGCCCCCATACCTACGCATTAGCATACCTTGTAAAGTATATCTTTATTCCTTGGTTCAAAGTACTGTACAGTACAGTAGTTCACCAAAAAAAAAAGGGTCCAGTACTATCAGTACTGTGTGGGCTATCAAGGATAGACCAAACTGATGCCTGGGTATATTACACTGAAATACATGCCTACAAATTTCATTGATTGCAAAGCTGATGAACATTGAATAATGCAGAAGAATGAGACAAGAGAATTATTATCAGTTTTTCAGGAAAAGGAGGTGGTGTAAACACAGTACAGTAACTGATGGTCTCACAGAAAAACCATTTACAATTTAGGTATTTGGATGGCCTGACCTGAGGATGGAAAATGTGAAGCAGAGATCAACTGGAGGATTGGCAAAGCTAACCATGCATACATAAAGGTGGTGTTGAAGATGAGAAAAGAAATAAAGCAGTTGTGTGGTGTGCACCTCTTTATATATCAAAGATACAGACACTAAATAATGATGACAATTATTGGCTTATAAGTTTGAAATATGGGTTCAGAGAAGGGAATAGAATGATTTTAGGACAAATATAAATGTTTTAAAGGCAGCTGAAGAAAGATCTAATGAAAGTGACCATGAAAAACATATAAACATTCAGCAAGGAATATTTTTCATGGAGGGGGGATTTACAAAATGTGTAAATGAAGGGAGGAATGGAAGGACCAAGACTTGGGATGAGGGAAAGATATGATATTTTTGTTATTTTCCTTTTTTGAGCCTTTCCCTGTTATAATGCATGATGGCCAGAAACAGTAGCAAACACAAAGACTCTCCCTTCATTCTTGTTGCTGCAACTGAAGTACAATTCTGCTATGGTATAGCTCTTCAACAAGGTCCTAAATATTTATTGGTTTAACTTTGTCATATCACACAATCTCACATCACTTATACAGATATACAGTATATAAATGGGAAGCAGTTGATATGAAAGGCTGAAAGAAATGAATATGAAGAGCTGCTGCAAGAGAGGACCAATGACAACAACAGACTGTAAATGAAGAAATTGGTACAGGTATTTTGTTGAGTTGAAGAAAAAACAAAAAAAGTGGAAAATTAATGATTTCTCCCTAAGGGAGGAACCATTTAATATGCTGTAGTGATACGATTCTTTTTGGAAAAGTGTGAAATAAAAACAAATGCAGTGTAATAATTATATAAAATTATTCCTCTACAGATCCAAGTGTTTGCACGGACTTCCTTTGTTATGAAGATATTTAATCATAACTGATGTCTGATACATGAATGATCATACAGTTTACAGTGCAATATTAACATCTAAAAAGATACCCAGTAATACTGAAATATTGTTCTATCCAAAGCTACTATAAGTATGGATACAAGGACAAATAATAAAGAAGATGCTATCCATATAATTAAGTGAGTAGGAGTCACAGTGACAAAGTAGGCAACACTAGCAGAACCTGAGTTTGATACAAACATTTAGATGGAATAGAGTTGAGTTCTCACAGCCTCAATGTACACACAACTGGTTACCCTGCCTTTCTAAACTGCTTCATCTAAGTACATAATACAATTTTCTTCTTCACTCATATAAACAAACATTTAGAAATTACCTGAACATTAATTGATACTATATCTCTTTACATACTACTAGGTTTTAATGCCAATACATTATCATAGTATTCTAAATTTTCAATCAATAATTTTTTTTTTACCAAGTTCTATTTACACGAAATCTGTGACATGTTTCATTTCTCAGTAATAATTAATAGTCACAATACTGTACTATATACAATATTATTACTACCTGTATGATATTTTTTTTAGAGAAAAGTAACCTCTTTGCTTTCCAAATTTCAGTAACAATTTAAGTAATTTAATTATGCCCACCCGTCTCCATGAAATATGTGACATACTTCATTAAGTGGTAAGTTATCAATACTTATAAGACACAGCAGTAACACAGTTACAAGAGGCAAATGGAGTAGCAATTTTGATAATAAAGTTTTACATGCAAGGGATGAAAGGGCATGCAAAGGTGAATGCCAATTACTTATTTGTATGAACGGTATACTGATGGTTTCACTAGATGTTAAACCTCTCATTCTGATTTTTTATAATATCAGCTGGGGTATGTTTCAAGTAGACTATATAATAGCCATACCAAATTGTTTAATTCTACATTATTTGAAAGATGTTCAATTTCTAGTTTTCATAACTTAAAAGAGCAAATATGTTTGATGAATTAGTTATTTAAAGAAGATTCTGCGAGCACCAACTTGCTTTAAATTTGAGAAATACAAATGGTAGAATGGGAATGGAGAAATAATAAAAAAAATAAATACTATACATCATTTCATCTTCTCACACAGTCTTCCACCTCTACAATCAAAACAAACAAATACAGTATTACAATTAATAAATACCTGTACTGTACTGAACTTAACACAGAAAGAAAAGGAAAGGGAAAAAGAGCATTCCTCCAAACTGAATGATAAATATAATCAATCTAAGACAAAAATGAAATCATAGACTCTCTCAAGTAATAACATGGCTAATACTAAAGGAATCCATGTCCCCATCACTTAACAAGACCCTTGAACACCAATATAAAATAAGAGATGGTGCCAGGATTTATGTACATCAAACCAAGAACCATTTCTCTCTCTCTCACACACAACTCAGCTAAACAATGCATCATAATTTTCCTGAGGAAGAAGAAACCTCCAAGAGAACCCAAAGAGACTTATACAATGGGAAATGGAGTCAGGGTTTACACAGATGTCCTCTAGATGAAGAGACAATGTACCCATTTCCTATTCTAACCTTAAAGTAATGGGTCTAGGTCACCTCACCCATGTGAACACAATTGGTGACACAATACATCTTTGGTACAAAAATGGTGACTGTAGGTACACTAGTTTCAATTATACTGCATTCATAATCTATGACTCAAACAAAGAAAGACATTGTCTATTACTGTACTACATCTCCACTGCAAGCAGGAGAAAATTAAATACAGTACAGTATCTAGTGTTCATTAATGACAGTGCTTTTCTGAACAGATTTGTGTAATATCTCACCATGTTTACAAGACTGAGACCCAGGAAACCGCTCGACAAAGACAGCCGAAACTGGCAGAGTCTGAAAGAACTAGAAGAGTGTGCACATCTGGTGTGATGCCATGAATTGTAGTCTTCAGCATTGTGTGAGAACTTTTGCTCCTAATTCTCCTTCTTAAAGTTTACGCTACAACAGGAGGATTTAAGTTCAGTAATCAATGGTTTAGTCCCAGCCATTATTGTTGAGGGGTGTCCTAGGTTTCAATCCTAGGTCAAAAAAATGGGAATTCAGGGTCAATTCTCCATTTATCTATTTACTGAATAACTATAGGCAGAGTTAATATATCTTTAAATAGTGTGATAAAATCTCTTCACATTCATCCAAATTTTTACCTGTCTGAAATCCCATATACACAGGTACAGTATAGACTTTATTCTCTCCCTCAAATATTCTCCTGAAACACACCTTCAAATTTATTTTCATATATTATCCTTTCCAATAAACAGTATCATGCCAGAAGACTTAACACTTTCCCCTGAACTATAGTATGACGACCTCAGAAATCCGGAAATGTTAGGACCATGAAGTTGCCAGATACCTGTAACACACAAACACTACTGACCTTTTGAGATATCAAGATGTTTCCCATTACAGAATCCTAGATGAAAGTAGATATACCACTAGCTCACCTAATTCAGTACTGTACCTATTATTGTCCAATAAGTGGCTGAAGATCTAGATACACACGCTTCATACCATTGTCAAGATTACAGTAGAGTACAGTACTCGTAACAAAGATTAGTGTGACCTATTGAGGGTGAAGGTTGGCATACACAACTATACTACCTTTTAAAATATTTGTAGTCCAATAGTGAAAATTTTATGAATAAATCTTCACTGTATCTGAAGTACATACATAATGAGTCTTAGATATTAATCCGAAGCTCTTCCAAGACATTTAGATGTACCGGTAGTAGCGTATAGCTCACAAATTAAAAGAACAAGCACTGCCACACATGAACTCAACTGACTACTGTTCCCAACAAGAGCACAGTCTATGGGATGTTAAAAAAAATGCAATATTGGTTTTAGCTTTTAATTATCTTTCAAAGGTGAAAATTTTCTATGATTTGGAAAATTGTTTTCCGGATTTCTGAGGTTATACTTATAGTGTATCCCCAAAATTCCTTGGAAATTTTATTTAATTTATTTTTTAACATCCTTCATTACTCCCACCACTCGTCAATATATTAATTTCTTCAAACGAGTATACAGGTATATTTTTTTTCTTTACATTTTTCAATTACCTACTGCCAATAGTTGTAAGAGGATGGTTCAAGCAGAATCTTACTGGAAGAAAATGGGGAAGAATTTAGCCATTAAGGGCATGATATTTTATTCAACATTAAAATAATAACTAACAGTGGTAACAAAATCTATATGTGAAAATGTTTCATTGAAACAAGGTATTGGATACAATTCCTTCTTCATTCATGGGACAAAAGAAAAAAGTATTCAAAGTTTTCCGTTTAAAAAAGAAAAGAAAAAAAAGACTACTGTGCACATAATATTGCTACTGTACTACTTATACTACTGAATGAACTCTCAACATAGCTAACTTTGTGTAGTCCTCATTAAAAAAAAAAATGGTTCTCACATCAGTCATGGAAGTATGGATAAAATTACAATCATGCTTAATGAGTTTCTGATAAAATTATCACTGTATTAATACAATACATATTTTTTGGGTGGTATAAATAAACTTAATAAATAGAACACTTCACAGATACTGAACAATTCAAAAATTACATTCAAAATGAATGTCTTAAAAGTTGCATAAAATTTCTTGTACAGTGCTTGGAAATTTGTACACAGTGGCTGTGAAGTGCAGAAGACTAACATCTTCATAACTGCTGTTTACTGGATAAAATGCACTGTGTAAGCATTTCACACTTGCCATTTCTCATATTCAAAGCAGGATGGCACATGAAAAATCTCCTCCAAAACAATTCTGCCACTAACCACCCCCACACAACATTATGTACATATATTCAACTATTATTCACTATGCTTTAGTTTCTGTAAGAGAAAACTACCATCTGTTCGCATGAGAAAATGGCACTTCAGTATTAACCATAAAAGGAAAAAAGTTGCTTCAATAAGTAAATGTAAGGAGTAAAGTAGAAATATGGAAACAAGAAAACAAAACAGTTATATAGGGAGAAACAGTAAGAGCTAACGAATTAATTATATATATATAGTATATATACAGTTCGAGTACAAAACCTGCATTAATGTTTGGTACAAAACTTCTTCCAAGTCGAACCTTTTATATAATTGACCTTTCTTTCTGGAAAATGTTATGTTCTACTGTGTTTCATAATAAAAAGCAGTTTTAAGAGTATCTTCACAGCTGGTTTTGAGATATGTGACAGACCACCAAAATTACTGTTATGTTATTACAAAATGTACTAGCTTTGAAAAATAATGTATGGTGCTTTAAAAGCTTTTCACACAGTAAACTATTTTGCTGTTCAAATATGAAAAAAATTATATGCTGCATAACTAATCTATCTATTTCCAGGTACTAGACCAAACGGCCTCGGCTGCTCATGAGAGCACTACTCTGGGAGGCATTAAGGGACATCCCCCACTCCCACTAATGGTGTATAAATTTTTTGGGTCACATTCATACAAAAGTGCCACTTGGTGGTCTGCCATTTTCACATTCTATAATTTCCTTCAATATTTTAGACTTTTTATGTTTCAAAATCTTCCATTGTTTGTACTTTTTACATTCCTTTTCATGCTTCTATATTTCTACTTCTTAAAATAGTACAGGTATACCTACTGAAGCAACTGTATTTATTATTGCAAATTTTTATTTCTCTATGCAAATATGTGGTGATTGCTTTACTTACAGTACATGTCAGCCAAAACAAGAAAGAATTCTTCAGCAAATGCTGGTGTTGGATCTTCAACACTTGAAGGTGTGGGGAACATGGTTAACAATTGAAATATCAGGCAAAATGTTTACATGCACCAATCTATTTTTAAATACAATCTGCAAGGGAAGCAATTTCTTTATATATATATATATATGGATATATATATATATATATGTATATATATATATATATATATATATATATATATATATATATATATATATATATATATATATATATATATATATATATATATATATATATATATATATATATATATATAATATATATATACATATATATATATATATATATATATATATACACTGTATGTCATACTATGGCAATGTATATGTTCTTTATTATCCTTTGTCATCATATCATTGATTAGTGAAAAAAAATTATTGTTTTCTTATTTCCTGGGAAAGAAGGAAATCTGAGGGACCATTATTTAAACTGATTTCATCCTTAAAATCTGTAATCATTACTCTTTGATATACAAAATCAATACTTAAAATGTAGGGAATTATTTGAATTCATATATTAGAGAAAATCATAAAAAAAACACAAGTCTTTGGACTGTTTGTTTACCAATGATATGACTCATAGAAGCCATAAGTACAAATTTTAACAGGTACTTCTTATGAGGACAATGTCATATATATCACCAATGAAAGATGTTTCATTTTTTCTTAACACATGTACCAGCAAGAGAAGGTATGAAGACATCACAATAAGGAATACCTGATACATGTCCTCCTGATTAGAAGCTGAATATCCGGATGAAAAGAATGCATGCAAAATGAATAAATTACAATGACCCCCTAAAATCCTAACACCTTGTAAAAATTAACCAACAAATAAATAAATACATAAAAAATTATACATATAGCCAACATTCTTTACACTTCTCACATTTGTAGGCGGCACAGTTTAAGCAAGATGGTGAGCCAAGTCCTAAGCCATGACTTATAATGGAACGCCTAACTCTGTGCAACTCTTGATGAACTACATCCTACCCACCCTGTCTGACCTCGGGCATAAACCTGGGTCTCACGGCTTATAAATGCAGAGTCTTGACCCTGTCCCAGGAAACCCTTTCTGTGAAAAATTACTTGTTCATAAATGCAGAGAAAAATATATAACCTACATATAAACTGGAAACAAATTTGTTCCTATTGTCACCTATTATTCTCTTTACATTAACTACTGACCCTTGCAAAAGTTATGAAAAACCCATATTTCTTACACTTCTAAATTTAATTTTGATCTGAAAAAATGACATGCTTGAGAGTACAGTCTAGTATATGTATGGAGGATTACTTTGGTTTAGAATAATATTCTGTACAGATATAAAGACAACGTGCAACTGTAAGTAGTTGAGTTAAAGAAGAAGTTGGTCATGTGGTACTTTCAGTTCCCTCACTGTTTCACTATAAAAGTAGAAACAATTATATTAATTGATGTTCTCACAAGGAAAAGTGCTGTGAGTAACCTCCTCATGAAACACATAAGTACTCTTGCCTGTTGCTTTCACATTTCCATTTTAATTTGAATGTATAAACTTCAGAGAAAATGGGAGGACAGTTGACATTGGTAACATATTTCTTGGGGAGAGAATAATAGTAACTTACCTACAAACCCATCTTTTACTATAAGAGAATTATTGTTTCTTAACTTATGGTCATTTACAAAAATAATGTTGCTACTCCACAGTAATTCTCTCCCATTAGATGTCAGCTACGGTGATTATTCTGTACCACAAACACTATTGGGTTATTTGCTTCTAAACACCTAGCTGAATCTTGAGACAATTTTTGTGACAGCTAAAGGGATACAAGCTGGTAGTTCTCATTCTCAAAATCATTCAAGTGATACTCTCCTGACAATTGTGCGGGTTGTCCCATTATGGATATTCCTTGTATTTTTTTAATATTTATAGTTAAAATGTATACTATAATGAAAATTATGCAGAACGTCTCACCATGTAGAGTTATTACATTACCTTTAAACATTACATAAGCACTACTGAGAGGAGTTCCTTTGTAAGTTGGTGCAGTTGACTGACTGCTGGGAGGTACCTGTAGGTTAACTTCACAACTCCAGTCAAAGTGTATTTTCAAAAACCTTCTCTCAGTTTTCATAATCCCTGTGGTAGGCATGCTAAGTCTCTTAACAAGAAAACTATTCCTCATGCATAAGTTTTCTCCCAAGTATTTTCCACACAAATTCTGTTTTATATCTATTTATTCCTTTTTACCTTTATCGTCTTTCACTCTCTCCCCACCAATGGTTTTTATTATTGCTTTAACTGCCGGAGCATAAAAAGGCCATAGAGCAAAGAACAAATGTCCAGAGAAGTACAGAGAACTGTAGAATTTCCACCACCTGAAAAATATGTAAACTTTAATAGATATACTCATAAGACATATAACATGGTTGTACCCTAAAGGTATTTTTCATGTAAATTTAACCTATAACAATACAATTAGTGGTAAGTCCACCTGTATTAATTATAATCTACAGCATACAAGATCGCAAAACATTTACATATATGTATAACATGAATGGAACTCAGAATATACAGTACTGTACAAGTAGCTGAAGTGAATTCTTATGGATGAGTTCTTTATATTATATGTCCTTTTTAACTGTGTGTTCCCTTACTGCTGCATAAAAATTTTTTTAGATGCAAATCATTCCACTGCCGACAAGAAATTATTAATACTGTGTGTTAATAATCCCTACTTACCTGTGGAGCTTGAGCAAAACAAAAGGTCCTAAACAGTAGCCCATGAAGACTACCACGTACAGTTTTAGGACAACAAATTTGAAGTATTTCAAGGGACCGGCATTGAGTAATGAAACCAGACGTGGATACTGGTTCACATAATTGACAATCTGGAAAATAAAATACAACAATGAAGACAATAATACCCATCCCATCTTCATATCATCAAAATTGTATCTTACAGTACACTATATACAGTATACAGTGGAGTTGCGACAATTTGTGGGTTAGGTACCAGAAGACAATTGTGAATTATCAAATCTCGAATTATAGTTTAAGTGATTTAAATGGACATAATTTGTTAGGTTCCAGAAGCCAAAAATATGCATAAGCTGTTCCAAAATTGCTATAATAAACACTAAATATCATACATAATACATAAAAAAATTCAGCAACACATAAATACTGTGCAAAAATAGTTCTATATAACATAAAAAGCTCCTTCCCTCCTCATAATTATCCTCTGGGTTATGCCTGGCTGGTCAAATGGGGTGTTGGTGGTACAGTGGTAACGCGTATAACTCTCACCGATATGTCAAGGGTTCGAACCACGGCCCAGACACACGTGAGAAGGGTGTTATCCAGTGTGACCCTCGCTACGGTATGCATATAGCATGTGTTCCAACTTATGTACAAATCCGACTTATGAACGTCCTCAGGAACAGCACCTGTTCGTGACCCGGAATCCTCCTGTACTGTATTTTTATTAATTTTTTATAATTTTCATCGTTTTTATACATTTGGTACATTCGCCGTAAGATACGGACTATCGGCTTTTCGGACAAGTGGTCCCCCCCCTTTAGTCTGGATCTTCGAGGGTTTACTGTATTTCTATCAACCCTTAAGAATTTTATCTCTCATTAGTATCATAAGAAAGTCTTAGTAACACTACAGTCACTGGTGACTCTGTATGTCTGGTTTATCCAAGTTGAAAGGAAAAACTACACATGATACCAAGGAGACACACAGTGATGGAAGACCTGAATGAACATACAAGTACCAATAATAAGAGTAAAGGAGAAATCTACTGTACTATAATAGTAGAGAAACTGAGACTAAAGTATGGATGCTTGGCAAAAAGTGTGATAATTGAACTGCTAGTCAGAAAAGTATAAATGGTAGAGTGTACAGAGTAAGACCAATAAGAGGTTTGGATGGAGGCCTAATTGATCATGGGTTGATAGTGTACAATATAGAATTAACGTATTGTACTGTTCAGTCTCTCCTCAACTTACGACAACCCAGACATATGACAGGCATGGTCGTATAAAATATTTTTCACATTACGTATTTTCGAGTCCCGATGTTAGTGATCGCGCTGTGTACTGACAAAATTTTCGTTTGTAATTCCCTTTAAAATGGCTGGCATGCGTATAAGTGAGAGTTCTCGTGGTGCTGAGAAGAAAAAGAGACACCCATTTTAGAATTTCTATGTATTATTTTCGCTTTTTCGACTTACGACCTGGTCGTCGGGACGGAACCCCGTCGTAAGTTGAGGAGAGACTGTATGAGTAATTGGAAGAAGAAGTGTAAATAAAAAGCCAAGGAGAAGGAAAATTCAAAAGAAATATCCATAAATACTCACATCTCTTTCAAAGTTCATAACAACAAATTCCATGAAGAAGCAGGCATAATACCCGGAGTGAAGACCATGCCATACGGCGAGGAACACCAGAGCCGAGGTTTGAGAGATATAACGGTTATTCAGGAACCGCAACCTCTTGTAGACGTATCTTAAGAGAAGGAGTGAAACAAAATACATCAAGTGGTTATTCTGACTGATGAAGCAATTTTTTTTTAGACATTTAAGCTTAGAAATGAATAGCTGTTGGCTAATGTATATATGTGTATATATATATATATATATATATATATATATACACACACACACACACCGTACTGTATGTAAGAAAATAAAGGTTAAATTCCTTTAGTTTGTTATATAAACATTTCTAAATAAAGTAATATTATCAACAATTGCCATATTTACTACAGTACTATTAGCAACTATTATCTTCAACCAACACAAAGAAAGAAATTAATTTTACAAACAAGACACACTATCTACAGTATATATCTGTATATTCAAAGACATAAGACAAATTAATCCTAAACAACAATATCAATTCATCCATGATTTAATCTTTTTGCCGACCTGCAACATACATTAACAGAAAATTCAGTCACATTTTTCCATCACCAAAGAGCATAAAGAGTCTAGTATATAAAAATCCATGAACATAATTTTGATTTATATAAGGTTTTCCATAGAGATAAAAAGTGCATGGAAGCAAGCAAGCTGAGGAGTTAGCACCTACTTACTGGGCTACCCAAGCATTTGTATTAGTGTTGAAGGAAGCAATCATGTGACCAAAAGTGGTGGCTCCCTCATACAGTCCAATCTTGACATTAGCACAGCCGTTCCATAGGCAGTTGCCATTTGCATCCTTACCAGAGTACGAGAGGCCTACAAGGGTGGAAGGGAGGGATCCAGTTACTTGGGTATAAGCGGATGCTGGGGAAATTAATAGCTGCACTGGACCAAATATATTTGTATGGATGAACGTTAAATTGTGATTTTCTCATGTATGAAATCACAACCGAGAATATGCTGAGCACAATGACTGAAATAAATTATTTAGTAATGAAATTAAGGAGTTGCAGGGAGAAGGGAGAGAAAGAAGAATAAGGAGTTACAGGGAAGGAATTAATAAACTTTTAAGGAACAGAATGAAGAGGAAAAAATGAAAAAGAATTGAAAACTACAAGAGAGCGGATCAGTATACTAGATATGAGTACAGTACAGCACATCAGTTGACAAAAATCTGTCGCAATATGTCACTCGAATTTCTATGGAACATTGTTTTCCCTGGTTCTCATCTTCATTATGAAACTACGCTTTCCATGTACCAAGTCCATTGCTGAAGTTGTGTGTGTGTGTATATATATATATATATATATATATATATATATATATATATATATATATATATATATATATATATATATATATATATATATATATATATATATATATATATATATATATATATATATATATATATATATATATATATATATATATATATCAATAAAAAATACATGTCACCAATAATGAAAACAATGCAAAAGACATTAAAAAAAAAAAAATCTTTACCATTAAACTAGGAAAGAAATTTAATGGCACTATGTGTGCATAAAGCTTCTTTTGAACCATGAAGACAGATTTGTGAAATCGGCCCAAATTCTAAGAGCCCCTAAAGTTCTGAGATACATTTTAAACAAAACACAAAGCATTTCTTATAAGGAAGAGAAATCTGGCATTCATGATCAAATCTTTTCTTTTGTACACAAGATCAATGATTCTGTATATCTGATATCAAGGAGGAGACGGAAAACAATTTGTCTGTTGGAATTTCTCAGGGTTACATCATGTGAAATTGATGAATTTTATAATCAGTTTCCCACTGACTACGCACATGGGGTTTCTACAGTGATACACTTCCCTGGCAGTTCCAATTAACAATAGCCATCTAAAAAGTGGGAGGTGGTGGTAATAACAGTACTCTAAAGACTAGGAAGAAATTCACCCCAGAGATGAGTTCCCAGGTGCACAGAGGGCAAGGTCTGTAACCCCTAATGCCTCTGTACTGTTTAATTTTCAGTGTTATCCCTCACCCCCAAGAAGAAACATGAGCCTTCAATATCAAGAGCCCCTAAGACAATGAATGTCTTGTCAACATGTCCTGTTGGAATAGGACCTCACTAGTTCACAAGATAACCAAGCTGCATAATCTGGTTCTCTGTAACTCCCCTTAAGGTGTGTTTTGTGACTCTTCTCTCATACACACACAAAAAAAGATAAATAAATAAATCTAAAAATAAAAATTGAAAATAAAACAGCCTGGTTAGTACAACTGTGGTCCCAGGCTTCAGTTTTCACACAAGTTGACTTGCTGACATACACATCCACTCTTGGATGAACCAATTAAATGTAAACAAACCTTATAAAATGATGCTGTGGGAAAATTTCTGTCTTAACCTAGATGACCACACCTACAACTGCAGTAAACCTTACTTAGCTACTCCTCAAAGCATCATTAAGTTGAGACACAATACTTAGCTCAACATTAGTATACAGAGCATGGTATGTCTGTTCTCTGAGGTAAGCAGCTGGGGACTAAATCCAGAATGGACTGGTTAATAGAAATGACTGACTATTTAAGAAGCCAATCTCCATTTTCAACATGACGACTGATGAGGGATGGCCATTTGTCAGATCAGCCCCTGGCTGCTAGGTAGGGCATAGTTTACTGTCCAAAGCCCTCTAAAATGCAATAACCATTAAATAAAACCAATTGGCAAGAGCGTGAAGCTAGATAATTTTAATTAACATAATATATAACATCATTGTATAATACAAATGGGCTGGAGAGGATGTAATTGATTAATATTACTTAAGCTTATTGCAGATGCCAAATAACTGAAAAGCATTAAGAATGATGTACTGAGTTTATATACCTTAATGTCATTTCTGGCATGTGTGTATTGAACAAAAATATTAACCTATATCATAAATTAATATATTCATTAGTACAAATGTCCTGCAGGGGATAATAGTGTTTGAATATTACAAAAGCTGTGTCATTATGCTGTGTGATTAGAATGAGCTATTTAAATATATAATGCCTCACCAGGTGTGTTTGAAATAGTAAACCCATGTTATTCGCGGGGGTTAGGTTCCAAGGAATGGCATGAATAGGCAAAACTGCGGATAGCAACTTATACTACCTTAGTGCACTACCTTATACCTATACCAAACAACCAACCAGCTGCGACAACACTCATCCCCTCTAATTTGTCTAATAATTCAACTTTCGTTGTCAGGGTCATCACTGACTTCTGCCTTTTATGTTTCACATCACTCGCACTGACACTAGGCAGTCTTTTAAGGGCCATTTTCACACAGAAACACTAATGTTTTGAGAGAACAACATGAGATGCTGCAGGAAAAGGCTCGCAAGCTAGTCACCATAGCCACCATTTGCTTACCGCGAATCATCAAAATTGCGAATCACAAGCCCATGAATGGCAAAGGTCTACTATATTTATAAAAACATCATATTAATATTTCTGTTTAATGCAAAGGTTCTGGATATCTAATCATGAGTACAAGTACTGAACAGTACACTGTACTGCATTTTCTCAGTTAAGACATGCATATCAGCTTGTAGCATAGTAAACACAGTTATACAGATAAGAAATATATATACAGTAATACCCCGTTTTACGCGGTACCCCGCCAGAACCGGAATTCCCACTTTACGTGGTGCATCTACTCATATACTCGGGAAACGGCGTGGGCAGGGTGCGCACAAGGTCGCCCAGTCATCAAAACATTACCGAGTTCTTCACCCGCCACCCACCACAGCCGGCCCAAGTCAGTGATAGTGATGGTGAGGATATGGACTTATATGAACTTTGAGGGGTTTGACAAAGCGGCCCTGCAAGCCTCTGTGGTGGATAGTGATACAAGTGATACAGTTGAGGGCCAATAATCTGCCCTCTGCCTTGGAACCAACCCTCCATCCCCGTGTGCCCAGCCACCTTTTCTACCAATGTAAGTGTTAAAAAACCTAATATTATTGATACCGGTATTTCTTTTAATTATTAATTGTGTGTGCATACCATCATAAAATTAAGATGTTATTTTTACTACAACATAGGTATTGTGTCTGAAAAAGTGATTGTCAGTTCAAAACTGATAATATGTTACATAAATTTATTTGTCTGTGGCCCAAGGTTAAAAATGCTTTGAAAACCTTTGATCTAGATGTATGATAGTTATTTTGTGGGTCCCTTATTTTTGGCCTGACCTGACTAGTCACGTCACCCCCCTTCTCTTAAGCTCCTCTACGTGTGTGTTGGTGTGGAGATTAGTGGATGACATCCTTATGACCTGACCTCATGTTTTTAAGGTCACCCTGTATATTTAAGCCTCTCTGTCCATGTAATCCAGTTGCCTCTGAAGATGTCTTGAATAAAGACGAAAGCTAAGGTACTCCGTTGTTTCCATTTTCCCGTGTGATTTTATCAAGATATATATATATATATATATATATATATATATATATATATATATATATATATATATATATATATATATATATATATATATATATATATATATATATATATATATATATATATATATATATATATATATATATATATATATATATAGCAGCCTTGGTGGGAACCATCTAACCTGCCCAGCTGAGAGTTGACTCATGGACCAACGGGCAAAGACACACATTATGGGATCAAGTATTGTACAACTTAACCAGGACAAACCTAACCAAACACTGGACAAATAAAGTTCTTAACAGTAACAAAGAATGAACCAACCACTCAAATGGCTAATAAGCTGGTAAGTGGCAAAATCATAGAGTATAAATAAACAAACAAGTAAAAATAATTCAAATGGACAGAAAATGGGAAAGTATTATTTTACAGTACAGTACTGTACTGTACTACTATTATTGATAATATCTTATATACAGTACTACAGCAAAAGTTCTATTACAGTACTACTGTTTAGTAAAGAATCCCGACACGATACACACCTCTCCTCTCTTTGTTCATCTGGTGAGTGCAAAACTTCAACAAACAGATGAGTTTAACGATCATTATATTTCCTCTGTATTTTGTAGTCATAGCCTACTTGTTTATGATAACGAAGCAAACTGGACTCTTAAGGTCAAATTATTACTTAAATTTTAACTACCACTACAACTATTACAGCTACTACTACAATTCAATTCCTTTTATCCTTATTCATCGGGACCAATGCTGGTTCAGATACCTGAACACGCCTACAAGAACATGCAATAACTTAACCTATGGTACCAAACAAAACAATTTAAATGCACAAACATATGCAAATATTAAACCGATGGTACCACATGAACACATCTGCCAAATGACTTTGGCTGCATTTGGATTGTTGGACTAAATCAGAATTTTTACCAAATGGGACCAAAGTTCAGATACTTGGAAGATTCAGATACAGAAGTTGAAATTGGAATAAAAGGAATTGCACAATACTACACACATGGCTGCTACATTTTACTACTGTACTACCACTACTATTACTTGCTGCTCCCCGACTTATGACTTTAGTTCCTTTTAGTTTCCCGAGAATTAATTATGGCAACATCAGTGTCTGTCTCGTAATGTTTATCATAATCCGAACACAGTAAGATGCATACAAAACATAATAAACAACAATAGCTTAGAATTGACTTAAGATAATACATACACACACATAATTTAAATAACCATAAAATTAACCAATATTCTGACACTATCATATTAACCTTTCTGCTATAACCAATATAAACATGATATTGTAACAGTCTGTGGATTAAAGTGTAAGAAAAAAGATTTACACTGGTGTGAGTAATG